ATTATTCACAGCATAATTCATCAGAGACAAGTTCTTGGATCAACTTGCAAATATTGGATAATTATCAATGTTTGGTTGGACAGTGTTTAAGGTTCAGTTTGGATCGATGGTCGGATTAGATAACGAAAAGAACATATGAAACGAAGGAATATATTCTGTAAATTACGGCACACTCTGAGGTAAGACTAAATAACTTACAAACACACCCTGAGATATTTCTCCGTCTTACAATTACACCCTTACGGAGTTATGAGTAGATTCAATGTATTATTTGTTATGAATTTCTAAATCTACCCCGAGGGGTAAATGTAATATACCCTTAGGTAAGACTAGATAAATTACAAACCCCTGTATTATTGATAATTACAAACAACCCCCAAGATATTTCTCAGTCTTACAATTACACCTTTATGGAGTAATGAGTAACGGAATCTTGAAGATTCAATGAATTATTCGATATGAATTTCCAAATCTACCCAAGACGGCAAATGTAATGTACCCAGAGGAGGTACGAGTAACGTAACATATTAATATTATTGGAAAAAATTCATTTTGCACCCCTGTACTATGCGAAATGTATCATTTACCCCCCTGAAGTATAGAAAACATCAAACACCCCCCTGCCGTTAGTTTTTTTTTTCTAATTCCGTTAGTCAAACCCTTTGACCGACTATTGCAAAGAAATGTTGGCTTTATTTATTTTAACGAAAATACCCCAAAAAAAATTTTATATATAGGATGCTTCGTTTTGACAAATGTTCACTGGATTTTTCACTTTTTTCCGCCCTTTTTTTTCACTTTATTCAATCATTTTTTTTTACATTTTCTGCCATTTTTCTTATAAAAAAGCTGAGTAGTCGATAAATAAGAATGAAGTTTCGCAAATTATAAATGTAAAACCCACAAAAAGGAAAACTAAAAGTCCTGAAATCTAAAAGAAACCATAAAATTGGAATCAAACCATATGAAAGAATCACAAATTAAAAACAAAGCTTTTCATATTATAATGAAAATTTCTCGAAAAGAAAACCAAGAATAAAATTAAATCCTAAAATCGACAAAAAGCCCTAATTTGAACGAACGCTA